GGGGGGGGGGGGGGGGAAATCATTTTTTAAAAAACTTTTTGTGTCATGGATTGTGTTCAGATTAAGTTATAGACTCGTTAAAATATATTTGACAGTTATTCATCTGAACACACCGGCACAAATATGCACATGTTATTAAAAACAAACAATGAATAATAACCTTAAAAATAAATAATTAGCCTTCATAAACACACAGAAAACAATTGCAAAAAGAAAATAGAGTCTGGCATGTTTCCCCTCGTCGCGATGGCTTGCATGAGATGAGGCTACAACATTCAAATCTATATTATCATTAAGCTCTGAATAATGATCAAAAATGCTGCGAGGTGTTAAATACTCACCGGGCCGCAGTCCGCTGAGAGGAGCTGGAAGGTGAGAGAGAAGCAGGCAGCCCTAATTGACTTAAATGGATCTTGAGTGGAGACAGGTTGCTAAATGATGTGAAGTGTCCAGGCAGGATGCTACTGCTGCTGCAGTCCTCTTCACTCTGTCTCTCTCAGTGATGCTCTGCACGGCGCATTGAACGCGTGGGACAGTCCCGAAGACTTGATCCCCTCGGTGACTGATAGGCAACACATTCTTCTCTTATTGAGCGCTACGAGGGGAATAAAAAAGGGATTTGCTGCTCTCATCTCCCTCTGTTTTTTTTTTTCTTTTTCGGAGCCTTTTCAATAGGATTGGAGGGAGGGATAGTTAATGCTCTTCATAGGGCGCACAATGAATAAGGAAACACAACTGGGCAGAAAGGAGAAAGGAGCGACAAAAAAAAAACCCCAAAAAGAAATAGGGCAATCCACAGAGTTGCGCATATTACTTGTGGAATCTCACGGTCATCAATCGATTCCCTGTAAATGTGTGCGGCTGAGAGTGTTTTTCCCACTGGCCGCGCACTCGCTTCCACATCCAGTCTTGCAGAAAGGAGAAGTGCCCCTGAAGCAGTGGCGTGTTGGTACAGATGCTGTGGGTGCGCCCGGTTTGGTGCTCCGCCGCTGCTCAAAGCTGGTGTCACGGTGCAATACAGTTACAGCGGAATATGAGCCATCTAAAACTGCCCTTTTTACCCGGTGGCTGGATTAGCCTACTCCCTAACCGCATCTCCTCCTCCTTTCCCCCAGTGCGCTCTCAAAATGTGCAGTGACTAAGTGACATTTCTGTACATTTCGTTTCCTTTTTATACTAACCCCTTTACAAGCGCATGCTTATTTAACACCATTGCACCCATTTAATAACTCACTGCATGCTGAAGTGTGTCTTTTACGAGAGTCTCCTGATATATTTAGGGTTAATTTAGGCTTGGCCCAATATACAACACTATTATCACGAGTCTTTGTTGCTCAAGACACGCGCGCACATGCACAAGCGAAACGTGAATGTAGAAAGAAGCAATAATAAGTTCTTAGTTGTCATATAACTCACACTGCCTGCTGGGCTACTTAAATATTCTTTCGAACGTGGGAGAGATGAAATACGGTCTCCAATCAGAAGTTTGATGTATGATGAACCAGGAAAAGAGGGGGACGAGTAAGAATAAAAACCATTCCAAACATCTGGCCTGCAGACCTCCCTCGACGCACATGTAGCCCAGTGTAATCACAGCTTGAGCCACTTTGCGGCATCTCCATCTAACCCCAGACTAGGAGCAGGCTTCACTGTCCCCAAACTTCTCCATGTTGGATCATGGGTGAATGTTTCATTATGTGACATTTATCTGCTAATTTGCATGTTCCACATTAGTCACTGTAGCGGTTGTAGCTTGAATAATCTCTCTCCCTTCCTTTCCATCTCTCTCTCTCTCTCTCTCTGGCTCTCCCTCTCTCCTTCCCTCAGATGACAGTAAAAGGAAGTGGGCTTTTGTAAAAAGGCTTTAATGACAGCCATCCTACGTTTATACTTCAGCCTTATATGAAGGTGCTCAAATGGGTTTCCTGGAGCAGTCATGCGACACCGAGCAGATTAGAGTTTCAATCCGGATAAAGGGGGCCTTTTATATACAAATCAACTTCAAATCACTTTTTAAGCCACTTAGATATACACGCCAAGGCAGAATGCTAATGCACTTTTCATTGCTGCAGCTTAGGGAATGGAAGGAGATTAGATGAATTGGTGTCACTATGCGAACCGTGTTCGAGGGGGGTTTTAACTTAATTTTATGAAAGTAGCCCACATGCACCTTCTCGGTTCCAACAGCAGTGTCTGTGGTCGAGAAAACATTTTAAATTTGTAATATTTAGAAGCCTCTCTGTGTGAGTGATTGTTGATTCAGTAGCAGCGTTTGTTTTGCTTAATTTAGATCAATGTGCTGATTGATCCGATGCCGAGCTGCCACATCACCCCAACCAAGTCCTGACAGAAGGCCTGTGCGTCTGGTTTCACAGGCCTAGTCACCACCGAGCATGGAAAACTCATTTGAATAGAAGATTGAGATGCTGTTTGGTAGTCTGTGCACATAAGGTGTGTTTAAACGTCATTCAGGCCTTACTTCCTTTAACGCACCACACACTCATTTCATTTGAATGAACCCTAAGTGTTATTTGCAGTACTATCTTAGAAGCATGCCATAATGCGATAAATAATCACAAAATCCGACCTGTCACTCCCTTGATTCATGCATATCATTTCATACACTGAAATAAAGACTTTGGAGTGACAAAGTGAAGTTGTTTCAAAGACAACAATGAAGAACAGCCCCTCTGATGGAGGTGGGAGGAAGGGGGACCACATGACTAAAAACAGTATTGTTGGAGGGTCTGTTAGCGGAGCCGCCTGCCTGCTGCTGCCTCCCTGTCGTACAGTGGAACCAGCAGCTCTCCCCTCCCCCCATCCATCATTTAACTCACCCCACTATGAACAAAATCTTCTTTGACTTTCCATATTTCATTTTACTGAGCGTTTCTTTGTTCTTTCTCCCCCAGAAATGGAAATCTATGCTACACAATCTACCGACCCAACAATAAAAAGAAGACTAAATGCATTCATGTTTGTATATCCTATTAAATATGCTTATGGGATCCAGTATTTTAGATGAACTAAAACTTGAGACAGTTTTGCGCACGGCTTGGAAAGTAGCTTTTGTGCGTAAAAGTTCGGAGACGTCATTTTACGCTTGGACGAATGATCACATTCTCAAATAATAAAATGATCAACTGGTGATCCAACTTTCATATTGGCCAATATCTTTGCAAACAGCCGCCTGTAGAGGCATCTCCTCCCCTCCCCTCTTTCTCTCCCCCCTCCCGTTTACTCTCGCCCCCGAGCTCCTCTGTTCTTCGTCTTCACTCTTCGGTCGTTTGGCGGTGCATCGATAATACTCCACTCTTCTTTTTGATATTCTTATTCAACACAGGACTTTATCACCAGTGTTTTAATGTCACGTCGCGAAAGACGCTTAACAAAATGGAGCTATCAAACAAACTCCGTTGGGACCAATTCCTGATTTTGGCAGCAGCACTTATGTCACCTGCATTAACGTGAGTGCACTTGAGAGCGCCAGGAGAGTTGGTGTTAACATGCGGGTTCTGGCTGCACGGAATTCGGCAAGAGTTGAGGGAAGTTACTGTGTGTGACTGAATGATTGAAACGAATATTTAACTCTTGTAGTTAAAAAGTAAAACATCTGCCTCTGATTTAACAGGCTGATTTAGTGTAATACTGAAACAATGCAATCAATGTTTACTAATTTTTTGTAGCCTTTGACAAGTCTGAACAATTCCATAAAGGATTCAATTTAAATCCCACGGTTGTTATTTCTCCATGAGATGTATTTGGTAATTTATTCTCTGCTTTTGTGAGCTCTCAGCTGGATGATCTGTTTAGAATTATATTTTCCCGGCTTTAAGACATCAGTAGAAACACTGTAGTAAATACTTGTGCAATTGATTAACACATTTTATTGCTAAGTATGCAGCAAATCCCCAAGAGAAGAGATACATTTTGTAGTATATCCTTCTTAAATCTTTCTTGGTTTTTGTGTCTATCTGAAACATCTTTCCATTGCCACATACTTTTCTGGATTTGACTAATGAACTCCTGACCAGCTCTGATGAGGCCCCCCCACTAAGTCTTTTTCTTTCTCTCTCCTCCTCTCTCTCTGCAGGGTGCTGTGCAATGATATCCTCAGCCTGAAGGTGGCAGGAGATCCAGTGCTAACCCCTAACTCAGTGTGCCTGAGGCTGGCAGGCCTCAGTAAACGTCAGATGCGGATGTGTGTGCGGAGCCCCGATGTGACAGCCTCCGCTCTGCAGGGCATCCAGGTGGCCATCCATGAGTGCCAGCACCAGCTCCGCGACCAGCGCTGGAACTGCTCCTCACTGGAGGGCCTTGGCAAGCTTCCCCACCACAACAACATCCTCAACAGGGGTGAGCGCCTGAGGCAAGCTAATCATGGTCAAAATCTGAACTGGGTTTAAGGGTAAATGTAGGCATAGACATGAGAGTAGAGATTGTTCTGCACACATATGCAGGGCTGTTGTAGAGCTTCACTGTTTATCATTTGCAGCTCTAAGTGTGTATCTCCTGCTCCCAGGTTTTCGTGAGAGTGCCTTCTCCCTGGCCTTGTTGGCAGCGGGTGTGGCTCACTCTGTGGCCTCGGCCTGCAGCATGGGCAAGCTGCGGGGGTGTGGCTGTGAGGCCAAGCGTCGCCAGGACGATGACAAGATCCGGCTGAAACTCACACAGCTGCAGCTGCAGACCCTGCAGAAGGGTGGGGTAGGCCTCGGCATGGCACGGTCATTACCCTCAGAGCTAAATGGTCACCATGGCGACCTGCCCGCTAACCTGCGCTCCACCCACCCGTCTGCCCTGCTCAAGCCTTTACCAGACGAGCTTAGCTCCATGCAGGAGACCTGGGAGTGGGGGGGCTGTAGTCATGACGTCCGTTTTGGGGACCGTTTTTCCAGGGACTGGCTGGACTCCCGTGGGTCTCCAAGAGACATCCACGCTCGCATGAGGATCCATAACAACCGGGTTGGACGACAGGTGAGTAATCTGCTTATCCACTGTGTTCTTATTGTTCCTCAGAGGGCAGTCTAGCCCCTCACTGGCTTATATCATGATTTGCTTACATAATTTACCTTTCTCTCCACAGATAGTGACTGACAACATGAAAAGGAAGTGTAAATGTCATGGCACATCAGGGAGCTGTCAGTTCAAGACTTGCTGGCATGTGTCTCCAGAGTTCCGGGTTGTGGGCTCTCTACTCAAAGAAAAGTTCCTGTCAGCCATCTTTGTCAACTCCCAGAACAAGAACAATGGGGTCTTCAACCCTCGCACAGGAAACGGAGCCAGCGGGAGCACAGGAGCAGGGGGACTCAACGGAGGTCGGCGTCGAACCATGTCCAGAGAGCTGGTGTACTTTGAGAAGTCTCCTGACTTCTGTGAGCGCGATGCGTCCGTAGACTCTCCTGGTACACAAGGACGCATCTGCAACAAGACCAGCTACAGCACAGACAGCTGCAGCTCGCTGTGCTGCGGCCGTGGACACAACATCCTGAAACAGACGCGCAGTGAGCGCTGCAACTGCAGGTTCCACTGGTGTTGCTACGTGCTGTGTGAGGAGTGTCGTCTCACAGAGTGGGTCAATGTGTGCAAGTAGATTGCGGTTCTCCCAGTCCCAGCTGCCTTTACCCATCCAGGACTCAAGATGGCGAGCCTGTCCCTTCGCCCACTCCTGTTGTTCGAGCGTTTGTTTTGCTCCTTGTGTAACTCTTGCAGAGAATCTGTTTATCCCCCCCCTTCCTCATCATCTGGGATCTATTTTCTCTTTGTAGCCGCTGTTATTCTCAGAATGCCAAGTCAGAGATTGAAGAGGTGACTCATGTCGTTTGTCTTGCCACGGTCTGTTTAGACGCTGCCCTCTTAGCCATGAAAACGGCCTATACCCCATCTTTTCTGTCCCACAAAACAAAGACGAGCAACAGCAGAGAAGCATTTCTATTTGTCTACATGCTGACTCATCTCATTGTACAGTAGCTGTGTATTTGAATGTGTACGTGTATATTTGTAAATGTGTTGTTATTAATATTATTATTGTGTTGGAGCCTGTCTTTTTGGTTTGAGTTAATGACAGACTTGTGCTGACCGAGTGGCTCAGGATGGTGAAGCAGTGCTGTATGAAGTCTCATCACAATTGTTCTCACACTTTAATCTTCTAATGATCTCCGAGATATTTACTCCATTTGTATATTTTGCACCTGTCACTCAGACAGAGCAACAATACTTATTTGGGAGTCTTTCTAGACAAGACAAGTTTGACTAATAGAAGAAGACCGTGATTTTTGTGGTTTTTGAAGGACTGATACATCTGATTGAAACCTTTGTATTATAGAGGCAACAGGACAGAAGCTTACAAATAAGCACATAAGCTTATCAAACATTGTATACTTTTAAACCTCAAGAAAGGAAAAGTTGATACAACATCGGTTTTGGAGACAGATTCAGTCCTTCAGTTCCTTACGCTGAGCAACTAATCATTCTAATTTATTTACACCATTGTAACAATAATAATTACGTCATGAGAGTGGTTGCTAGTGGTCATGTTTGTCATAAATTCATATCAATATTGTGACAGAAATATGCTGCGTCTTGATATAACTGTGATGTGATGTGTGTCACTTTTCTATGAAATCATGACTGACTGAGCTCTTGTTATTCTCTGCCTGCTTTTGTCCATTTCATCAGCCTGCCTGAGCACTCCTTAGATTCTTCCCACATGTAGTACATGTCAAAGTGAGAGATGGTCCTGCTTTAGTCTTGAACTGATGCTGAAGGGTGTGCGTATGTTTGAGTGTGTGTGTGTGTGTGTCTGTTGCTGTGTAAATGGGGGGCAAGTTCTACGCACTACAGATTTGGGAGGTGAGAGCCTTTTTTATGGCCACTTCATGCTGAGAGAAGGACTTTTTATGGCTGCAGGATATTGTTTCCTTCAAGTATGAGTTTTATTACTGGAGAGAAGCATCAAGAGAGCAGAGAGCGGGGGCGATTATACCAGTCTTTGCTGTGTGAGCATCTGAGGGGATCATCTGTCCAGAGTTCATAGCCAAAGGAGGGACTCGCTGAACCACGTGGAACGCAGTGTCCCTGTTACCTGGGAGACAGACGACACAAACATAAACACAGGCACATAAACACATGCGTGCGTTTATGTACAAAGACGCTTAAATGTAGAAATCCTGGCACTGATGCACAATCAGAAACATGCATGCTGGTGCGCACGTATGAACTGTCAGACAGCACTCCTGGTGACCTGAGTGATTTGCACTCTCATTCTCTTTACGCTGCACATTTGGCAAAACGCTAATGTCAACACCTGCCTGAATTTACGATAGCAGCGTTCATAGATATCTCCAATGATCCAAACTGTCTCCATGCTCAGTCTGCTGGGAAAACCTCTTATAGGATTGAATGCCAATTAAGTCTTGTTTGTATGGACTAAATATCCCTTGACTCCTGAGGAATGGCAGTGCCAGTGGCTGCATCGACTGTTCTTGTCTCTTTGGTATTTAGTGAGGGAGAAAAAGGGAGACAGCAACTGGTAAGGAATGATAAGGGAATGGATTTCTGGTTTGCATTTCTTCATTCCTTTATCATTTCACCCTGGAGCTGCTGCAAAAGGGAATTTCCTGTCACTGTTCCTCCCATGTGTGAGACAGAGGTTGGTGGACAGCCTGGGATTGCTTTCTCTCCCTCTCTTTTTCTCTCTTTCCCATTCTCCCCCTCATCGCTGCAGACATAGACACATGCATAGCAACACATTGACTGCCCCCCGAGTAATGACAACCAGACTGGGCTGAAATTAAAGAGAGGGAGGCAGAGAGAGGAAGTTAGGAGAGATAAAAGTTACCCACTTTGATTGACAGGATGATTATATGTATAAAGTAAGGCGATTTAGTGTGTTTAGTTGGATATAAAGATAGGGAGATAGATCCTTGCTGTACGTACAGCGGAGATGCAGAAGCAAAGGACAAATGGGGTATGGAGAAGGGGGTGAATAAAGTGTACTCTGTATAAATACATGCCTCAAAACATCTGCTTCTCAACTCCCCTTTCATTTTTGATGTGGGACAGGCAGAGAAGGAGAGCGGGAGAGAAAACACAAGGAGCCAGCTACCCAGAACATCAAAGCCCCTGCCCTCAACGCGCAGGCCCTCATTAGTTCAGCTAGCAGAACCAACGAGACTTGTGATTGTGTTTGCTGGGGTGCATGCTGGCAGACACTTCAGAGGAAAGACTCCTTTAAGTCATAACTCCCCACCCCACCTCTCCCGCCACCACCCGAGCCCGCTGTAACCCCCCTGTAACCCTCTCCAAACTCCGCGCGCACACAAACTCGGCCGGCTCCCCCACCAACCACTCCACCCCATAATCTGGTCTGCAGCTGCAAACATCTGCTGCCCTCTTTATTCCTCTGCCTTCACCGCTGAATTGATAAACACATCTATCACCGGACCACTGAGTGACACACAGCAGAGAGGAAGAGGGAGGCAAATGTTGGATTCACCTGTGGCTATGGGGAGGCTTTTGGGCATGTCATGTAATCACTCTGGGGGCTGTTTTCTTTTATGGTTAAAGGGTTAAACCCACACATAGGAATTCCTTCCTAATTCTTATATGTATTGTCACTTGTAAAACCACATAAATGAAATATACCTTGACAAACGTAATGTTAGTAACCTGCTATAATATTGATTAAGCCTATGTTTTCTTTTTTCTCCTGTCACCTCATTATTTGTGACACACAGAGGGCTGCTGCCAGGAAGTATCACTTGGCATCCTATTACACTCCATTCACTCCAGCCATTTACTTATTCATTAAGATGATTCCTGTTTTAATTATTCAAGCATGTTTGCCTGCAGACTATCTGCTACATTTCATATTGGTTTTGTTGTCAGTATCCTGCTGCAACGGCCACATAAATAACATTCAAACACATGCAATGTCTATTTGTCACAAGGGGTATTGTGTGTGAGTCTTGAAAGCTGGACGCTGTATTTAATCTCTCAGAAGCAGGTTAAGGCCCAAAGATGGGTGATGCTCATGTTACATAGTTATTTTTCATGTTTAAAGAGACACATTGCAGTTGCCCTCCGGCACTGCTCCTGGCTTTTAACAAGTCATCGATGACAAACGTGAGAGGTGTTCTTCAGAAATCCAACTATCGCGAGAACACGCCGTATCACAACCGCCTCTCATCGCGAGACTATCATCCAGTCCTCTGCCTGACTCCAGCTGGTAGCCTGCCTGCCGTGGACGGGTAAGTGTGAATGAGATGCAAATGGTGAAAACGCTCAAAGATTTATACAAGTAACAATAAAGGCGACCGCAGCGTATTTGTGGCCGTTTTTAACGCCTGGCGACGCTTAACGGTTAACGTGAACGGCCGTTAATCGACGACACCAGGCCGACTCGTGCGCTTGTCGTGACTGTACGAGGGGATTACAGCACACAAATTGACCCGGAGAAATATATATATATATTATATTTATATATAATTATTTATTTTTTTCAATCCTGAATACATTATCTAATATTGTTACCACCTAACTACGCTCGAATAACTATCGCTCCACGTTATAAATACGTAATAATGGCTCATTTAAATTCATCGCCCGCTCGGACTGCAGCAGCAGCAGCCGCCGTCCTCCTCGCGTTATCACAGATGTAACGTTACATGGATGTGCGGCCACTGCAGCTGTAACGGGCTAGGCTAGCAGCTAATAGCCTCTGATTATAATTGATTATAACATGAATGGATACGCAGCTGAGCAGTGTCACCCACAAGCACCTGAGATGGTCGATCATACAAAATAAAGGCTTTCAGAAGATGGAGAGAAAAAGGGGAGGAGAGGGATGCTCCAACAGCCGCACAGTGGGCTTTTTTTCTTTTCTTTTTTTTTGGTAGCTCATTTTAGGAATATCCCTGTGTGCACCAAATGCACCTCAGGGTGAGTGTGTGTGCACAAGTTGACAGCAGAGTTGGCCTGTTACAGGAGCCTTAAGAAGAAGACCGATTACAGGAAAGTAGGAGTCAAAGCCTCTCACCTTAATGCTACAGTGTGCACATACACTCTCACAGCCATTAGGTAATGTGCCATGTGATGTAATATGAATTGATTGTTACACTAGCATTTATTTAATTGCCAGCAAAACAGCATGAAAGGGGGTTCGCTCTGCACCACACGGAAGCTGATCCACATAACAGAGATCCAGCATGGCGGCCGGTGTGCTCAGGGAGCTGTCAGAGTCAGGTCAGCCGCCTGCAGGGGTGTGAGGTGGGCTTTCACTGGCTTTCCTCTGAGGTGGCTCCAAGCCCTAACGAGGGGCTAATGTTAGGAGATGCTTTTGAAGAGCTACTGCGTCTTTTTTGTGCGCGCGTGTGTGGTTGTGACTTACCATACGTGGATAATTTTTTGTTTTGGCTGCTTTGTTGCTATGTCGAGAGAAAGCAGCCTCCTCAGTATCCTGTGTAACAGTTCTGTTGCAGTTGAGAGCCGCCGGACATCATGGGAAACATCTTTGGCAACCTGTTGAAGAGCCTGATAGGCAAGAAGGAGATGAGGATCCTTATGGTCGGGCTGGACGCTGCTGGAAAAACCACCATCCTATACAAACTGAAGCTGGGAGAGATCGTTACCACCATCCCCACGATCGGTGCGTGAGCCTGACGCCGCTGCAGGTGAAACAACGTGTCACTGAGTTCGTCCAGCTTGAGTGTAACTCGTTTTGGATTTGCTTTTTGTGCAGGTTTCAATGTTGAGACGGTGGAGTACAAGAACATCAGCTTCACCGTGTGGGACGTGGGCGGCCAGGACAAGATCCGTCCCCTGTGGAGGCACTACTTCCAGAACACCCAGGGTAAGCCAGGCCAGCTTAGATGATACACAAGTCAGCCATGTTGGAGTTAACTCAGTCCTGTGGCAGATCCTGAAACCACATGCTCGCCCCCGGCACCTGAGGGCATATCTGACTAATGCTTTAGATGAGGTCATTTGCGTAAAGCCTCCAACTGTTTCGAATTATTATCGCCTTAGTCATGTGGAAAGCCTCGACAATGAATAAACGTGGTTTAGCAATATGATTTTTTTTAACAGTATGATGTCAGAATATTGTTAAAAAGTGGGATGAAATAGATTCTGCTTCTCCTACAGCGGATGGTTTTGTTTTGTTCCTAACTTTAATAATACAAGCTGTCATCTCTCCCTGCAGGTTTGATCTTTGTGGTGGATAGCAATGATCGCGAGCGGGTGAACGAAGCCCGGGAGGAGCTGATGAGGATGCTGGCTGAGGACGAGCTGCGGGATGCTGTTCTTCTCGTCTTTGCCAACAAACAGGTGTGGTCTTCCTCGTGTCTCCTCCTTTGTATTCCCTTCTTTCCGCACCTGTTTCCTAACCACCTGAGGCCTCCTAATTGACACACCTGATGTGCTTGTTGTCCAGGACCTGCCCAATGCCATGAACGCTGCAGAGATCACAGACAAGCTGGGCCTGCACTCCCTACGCCACCGCAACTGGTACATTCAGGCCACCTGTGCCACCAGTGGAGACGGGCTCTACGAGGGTCTGGACTGGCTGGCCA